GTCATATGCTCTTCTACGAGGGGTAACAGGTGTAAGTTAACAAACACGCACTCACACGCTGATTACCAACAAATTAACTTATTGATTTATTCTTGAAACAATCTTCATCTCTGAACACTTGAATTAACATTCAGTTGTTTTTTTACTCTACAACCAACCAGCCTCCTGCCTGGTAATGTGATATCTGCTGGACTCTAGAAACTGTAATACCCTGAGACAAACGCACTCACTTGAACTACAAGATATACAAGTCAACAAATTACTATCAAACCGGCCAGAATTAGTGCAGCCTAATGGCTGGATTACGATTTATTGTACATTACGGAATACCTAGAACCATACGGAAACAACACAAAGCGATAGCAAAGAAATCAATCAGTATATACAAGCTCGAGACCACGATACTGAATATATGTTACCACTAGACTTTCACATAGTGATCGCCCAAGGTGGTTAAAAGCAAAACGGACAGGCAGTCGGTCGGTCGCACCGCGTGTAACGCGTTCAAAACCTTACTCTATCAACCACTAGTTTCAATTATCAGATTGTCTGAAGGCCAGTTCAAGGTTGAATGTGTTACTGCACGCTTGGATATTTATATGAATCAAAAACTTATTAAAATTCCACGAATAATACAATAGCTTTGAGTAAAGTAACAAAGTTAGTAATGTTTACTATTTAGAAAGGACTGGGTTATTTTTCCTAGCCGAATTAGCTTTATAATATTGGTCATTAAAACGACCAATACTAATTATTACTCTGTAGTGTGGTGTCGAGTCGCAGTTGACTATGGTCACCACTACAAGAAGGTTGCGTACCAGATATCAGAAGGCGATTGGAGGTTGTAACGAGATATGTCTGTTGGCGATCTCGTGGTATCGAAAGAATGTAGAGATCGTGTCAAAAGAGTACAAGCGGAATCCCTGAGTAAACGTAAGCGCGTGCGAGGTCACAATCAACTGAAGTAAGAATGTCTTTAGTACAGTTAAGCAAACAAGTACAGCAAAACAATCACTGGTACAATTGGTTATAATAATTGTTCCCATTAAACCAGTTGCATCCTCTTGACAAAAGTAGGTCACCACAGGAGCCCCTCGCTAGATAGGGTTTACACTTTCGATACTTAGCGGTTTCGTTCGTGCGACTGATCAGCAAACGTGCGGTTATAGTACATGAGGGTTGGCAGAGCAGGAAGCGATCGTTGGTCCTCGTAGAACGTAGAACGGTACCAGGAGAAGCGTGTTGTATTTGTCGCTAGAGCTAGCGTACCACACCAGAGTGGTTTGTGTCCAGGATCTGACGATTGAGTTCGTAGTTGTGCGAACCAGAAAATGCTGCAGAAGTAGGACGAAACCACGCTGAGCCAAGAAACCAGAAGTGGCCAATAACAACCAGTTGCGTGACCAAACATATGCCAGATAGATTCGAAACCAGAATGTCGACTGAGTGCGATGAAAAGAGCGTAGGTAATCAGGCCAGCTTTCGCCAAAATTGACTGAAGTTGACAGTAGCAAACGGGCGATGGTCGGAGGAGTAGGCTCAGGATACAAAAAAATTAAAAAAACACAGAAAAGGTGTAGCATGAATGTAGTATAGGAAGAGTCCTACACTGTATCCGTTGTTGATTGTGCGGTTAGTCACAAAAGCTTACGGGTAGGCGTACTCGGCAACCGGAACGTGAGACGGTAGTCTTTTCGTGCCTTAAGGTAACCCTCGTGCTATTGATAGAAGAAACCAGACAAGTAGTGAATAGGTCTTTATTTTGATCTTTGCGCAGTCACAGTGGAGCGTGTGGTTATTTAATTAGACAAACAAAGCCTCTCAACATCCAATATAAGATAATAGGAAATATAACGCTTACACAAAATAAGGAAGTGAATAAATATTTGAACTATATTGTTTTGGCATATGCTTGGTTGTTTGAGGTGAACTCTTAACCAACCAACCTAAGCTGTTACAGTCTCACCCTCGGGTAAATGTGACCATGAAGTTCTAGTCTTGGATTTCCATATAGTTATTAATAGTGAGGATGTGTCAACCCAAGCCATACCAAACTTCTGGAAGGCAAATATACAAGATGTTATGCACTCAGCATTTTCAGTAGATTGGTCAATAGAACCAGAGTCCTCGACTGAAACAGCTTGGGATAAATTAAGAAATTTGTATATAAAGGTCAATGCGTCTCACAACCCTTGAACTACACCAAGAGGTTGGCGAAACTCCCCACCGTGATTCAGTGAAGAAGTTTGCATCTTTCTCTATAAGAGTAGAATGTGGGAGAGATTTAGGTTGCTCGGTACTAGGAAGACAAAATATCAATATCGGGGAGCCCGAAATATACGTGCTTCGACCCTCTGCACATCTAGAAGGTTGTACGAAGAACTTGGTAGATAATCTATTGAATACCCTAAATGCTTATACTCGTACATAAACCATAGGACTAAGAGAAGAAGAAATATCACAGCACTATGGGGAGACAATAGTACAGCATCATTAGTGGAGGACGACTATGGTAAAGCCCAAGTATCCTCAAATTACTTTATCAATGCATATACTGTAGATATGCTTTCTTCTTTAGTTCATACAAAACCCCATACACACTGGGAACTGTGGTTATTGAAGAACTCGATGTTCTCGTCTGCTAAATTAGCTTGATATAGGCAAATCCATAGGATCCGATGAAATGCATCCTAGGTTACTAAAAGAGCTAGCTAATTTCGTTGCGAATCTTTCAAGCATATGTTTTGGTCTAGCTGTGACGCAGAATCGATTACCAAAAGACTGAGAGAGTGCCATAGTGAATCCCGTCTTCAAAATAGGCACGAAACATAAACCTGAGAACTGTCAACCCCTAATTCTAACCAGCGTCGTTGTTAGGATTTTTGGAAATAATCAGTTTTTTATGTATTTCGACAAAAACCGGATTCTTTCTGAAAAGCGACATGTCTTTAAAACAGGTTATTCATATCTCACTAACTTATTGGTAGCCCGTGAAAGCTGGTGAGCTCTTGAAGATCAAAAGTTACCTTTAGATGTAGTCTACATTGACTACAGTGATGCTTTTGACAAAGTTCCTCACAACCGGCTGTTATAGAAGTTGAGTAATGTCGAGATTGAAAGCAATTTATTAATGTGGATAAAGGAATTCCTAGTTAGGTACGAGTGAACTCAAAGTTGTCCAGCTAAGAAACTGTGATTATTATGGTGTCTCAGGGTAAAGCTTTGGGGGCATTGTTGCTTCTCTTGTAGGTAAGGGACTCTCCTAGTCTCTTATCATCATCAATTTGGTTATGTGCTGACGATATCAAGGTATGCAGAGCGATAAAAAGTAAAGGTGATAGTTTGGAGTTCCAAAACAACCTGGGGAAACGATAAATGGTTTCAAATTTGGCAGTTGTAGAAAAATGCTTCTGCGTGCACTACAATGCATATTGGTCACCGAGGTACAGATACACACACGAAGAATGACAATAAGCTACCTGTTGTACAGATACAATCATTTAAGAGTTAAGATTTAAAAATTACTGCACACTGTCGTTCGAAGGCCGCCAAAGGTCGGTATGTAGAACCTTTAGCCATATCGATGCTAAAACCTTTTTGAATTTTCATACAGTATTCGTTCGTACTAAACTCGATTACTTGATAAGAGCTGCTAGTCTTTGCCTTAAAAAGATAACAGTGTTGAAAACGGTCCAAAGAACTGTAAATAAACTGATTCCCGGAATGGCAAAGCTCCCGTACGACACTCGACTGGCTAAACTAAACCTGTCCCCATAATCCTAAAGGAGTGCTACAGGTGACTTAATTAGTTTTAAAATTACTTAGTGACAAGTTTGCAACTAGATTTTAGATTTCAAATCCAGATTTTTGTAGTAAGGACAGAAGGCATACCCAAGCAACACAAAAAGGGGAAAGAAAGGGGAAATAAAGCGGACGAAAGGGGAAATGTCACTTTTTCGCCTTTAAGTCGGTTATTTAGGGGAAATGTCGCTTTTTTCCCCTTACGTCGTGGATTTGGGGGAAATTTGTCGACAGTTCTACGTAACGTACAGTGTTTGAATGAACCACATCCAGAACTGAAGTTTTCAAAAACTTCGACAAATTTAGTCAACGCTTAATAAAAAAACAATAGTATTGTCATAGAAACAATGTACAAAATACGGAACCAGGCATTCGGTTGATACGCGTATAGAGTGACTTCGTTTGTTGTTTAGCTAAAGTGTTCCGACATGTTTTGGAGCCATCACAAAAAACTTACGTGATGCAGGTGAGTGACGTGCTCTCAGATTCTCATGTTCAATGTAATTGATTACCTTGTAAGGCCAATAACATGAGTTATATTGAAGTCAATGAGAATGTTCGCAGACGTAGGGCCACTGTGAACTTGTCACGTTCCCTTGGCTGTCATGGACCCACTTATAACAGAAAGTCCCAAGCAACCCAAAAAGGGGAAATAAAGGGGTAAATGCTTTGATGGCGAAAGGGGAAATAAAGGGGAAAACGCGCCAGAATGTCGCCTTTTTCGCCTGTCCGGGGGAAATTATGCGGATTTTCGCCTTTTTGTCGACAAATTAACGACTTATCGCCTAAATATCCGCTGAATTGTTGCATTTTCGCCTAAATATCCGCTGAATTGTCGCATTTTCACCTAAACATCCTTTGAATTGTCGCATTTTCGCCTAAATATTCGCCGAATCGTCGCATTTTCCCCTAAATATCCGCCGATTTGTCGCATTTTCGCCTAAATATCCACCGAATTGCCTACGTATGCGCTTAATTGTCTACTTTTCGCCTAAATACACACATTACCTCCTATTTTCTATCGATCGAGAGAACCCCAAAGGTCTCCTATGTTCGCCTTTATTTTCAAAAACAGACCAAAATATATCTGCAATGCAGTTCGAAGCATAACTCACATTGGCTTTGCATGTTTTGCTGTGCCAACAAGGCATTGCTAATACAGGAGGCTATGAGCCTATTGGCTTTGGCCTGTAAGAAGAATGATGGCATATGCGCCGACAACACGGGCACTGACAGTGACGAATGTGTCAGTGTTGTTGCGCGACGCCTCAAAAAACCGACTGACCGACGTAAAAGTGAAATCTTCGTTGATATTAACAGGGGGAGTAGTACCACCTTGTACTGACATTGTTAATAATGCACCTTTAGTGGGAACCGTAGATCTGGATAAAACAGTCACCGTTCCAAATAGTCCCAGTGTTATGAGGGATGAAAAATGGACTACGGAACGTAGGAAACGAAACGAAAAGAAAAAAGCTGTAAGCAGTACACAGGCAGTTAGTAACTCACTGGTGGACTCAAATTGTGAGCCACAAATTGCAATACCAAGATCTGATCGTAAGAGTGAAACCTATCCTGGCGTAACTGAGAAGAAAAATCTAATAACATCGAATATTATTGTGAGCGAATTGCGGGAGTCAAATGACCCTGATCCGAAAATTAGACACGCGCATGACTTAGAAAAGCTAGGAGAATACATTCGTAGTATTTTACCAGATAACTCCAAAGGAGTTCAGGTTAAAAAGTTGGTAAGAATAGGCAAGGGAACCGACGACAATGTTGAACCCCGTCCATGCAGACTCCTTAAGGTAATCCTAGGATCGGAGAAGCAACGGGATCTCTTGTTAAGTAGCGCTCGTTGTCACGACAATTCTGACATCCGAGTTAGACATGACATATCTCTCGAAGATAGAATAAAAAGGAAGAAAGCACTAGCTGAGCTTGAAACCCGTCAACAAAACGGCGAGGAAAATCTCCGGCTAGTGGGTTTTCGGATAGTCAGGTCTTGGAAGCGAATGCTACCAAGGCCTGTGTGGATAGGCTGTTCTACCTAGGAGTTTTATATGCCAACGCTCGTAGTCTACGAAATAAGTTCTATGAACTAGAAGCACTTGTGGACAGATTAAAGCCACTCATTGTAGCAGTGACAGAAACTTGGTTAGTCGATGACTTAGACATTACTCCAGAATTATCCGGATACCATTGCATCAGGAGTGATAGACATAGATGTAGGAAAGGAGGCGGCGTCCTGTTATACATAGCCAATAGCATAAATATCCGCTCCTCTATTAGCGAATCCCATGATAGCGGCACTTGTGAAGTCATTAGCTGTAAGTTGGCTATAGGATGTAGTACATTTATGCTAGGTGTCATCTATCGGAGCCCAATCTGCTTAGCTGATGACTTTGTTTTAGAGCACATTCATCTTTGGAGCGATAATACCAGGTGCTTGATAATAGGAGACTTTAACGCACCTGATATTAGTTGGACTGATATGACCACAGAAGGATCTATAAACTCCTTTGATAGTAGGTTACTGATAACAATAATGGAGCATGCACTAGTACAGCATGTATCCCAACCCACACGTTTTGGTGTTAACCAGGGTTCTTCTCTGCTGGACTTGGTAATCACTCATGAGACTGAGGATATTTTCGACTTAAATATTCTCCCGCCGTTAGTGAACAGCGATCATGCTGTTTTGTCATTCACGTTTCGAACTAGGGACATGTTATACGATCAGGTTACACCTCGCCCAAATGTATGGAAAGCTAACATATCAGCCATTCAGGAATGTGCTGCTAAGACAGATTGGTTAGTAGATACTAGCATATCAGTTGAAGAAGCATGGTCTGTATTTAAAGGTAAATTTAGACTAGTTACGTCCCCGTTCATACCATACCTGGTATCGCGAAGATCGAATAATAGTCCACCATGGATAACCAAAACGGTCAGGAAACTCCTTAGAAAAAGGAAGAATCACTGGGATATGTTCATCTCTACTGGCTTAGAACAATACAGATCCAGTTACTGTAAGATTAGGAATGCCTGTAAAGCGTTAATAAGTAAAACTAGACTATCATACGAAAAACAGTTGGTTAGGGATTCTAGATATAGTCCGAAACGGTTATTCTCGTATATAAAAAGGCGAACTAAGAGAAGTGATGGAATTCCATCACTTTTGATACGAGAAAATCCGTTAATCTTAGCAGAGAATGATGCCGAAGAAGCGGAAGCTTTATCGGAATACTTTAGTAAAGTGTTTTCTTTCGGTAATGACGAACGACCAATGATTCGGCGCGACCGTGACGGCTCGCTGATGGATCCTGTAGTCATTGAGAAAGATACTGTTTTAAGGCTACTTCAGCATCTCAAACCTGATAAGTCCAGTGGTCCCGATGATATTCATCCTAGGATTATGAAAGCCATATCAGATGAAATTGCTGAACCATTAGCGATACTATTCGACATGTCTCTGAGACAGTCCAGACTTCCCAGAGACTGGAAAGACGCCATAGTAAGTCCGGTGTATAAGGCTGGGAGTAGGGATCTAGTTAGTAACTATAGACCCGTTAGCTTAACTAGTGCAGTTGTGAAATTGATGGAGAAAATCATTCGGATAGCTGTTATAAACTATGTTGAAGGGCAAAATCTTTTCTCCAGGGCACAACATGGTTTTCGGAAAGGCCTATCTTGCTTGACAAATTTTCTCATTGCACGAGAAGAGTGGGCTGCGGCAAAGAATCGGAATGCTCCTGTGGATGTAATTTTCATAGATCTAAATAAAGCCTTTGATAAGGTTTCGCACTCTGGTCTTAAATTCAAGCTGAAACGTTTTGGAATCCATTATACAGTCGTCGATTGGATAAGTAACTTTCTCCATGACAGGAGACAAAGGGTAAGGGTTAATGGGGCTCTCTCCTCGTGGGTACCTGTAAAAAGTGGGGTTCCCCAAGGTACAATCCTAGGTCCTCTTCTCTTTTTACTTTATGTAAATGAATTGCCAACTGTAGCAAAATCACCCGTTCTACTCTTCGCTGACATAAAGATTTGGAGACCCATACATAGCATGTCGGATAGGATAGTATTACAGGACGATCTTAGCTCATTGGTGGCATGGTTAGATAGGTGGTCACTAGAAGTAAATCCTAATAAGAGTGTAGTGATGCAGTTAAATAACTCTGATGAATCGTATGACTATACACTACGTGGATTCGTGCTACCCAAAGTAAGAAACTATAAAGATTTAGGAGTCATTAAGCAATGATCTCAAAACGACTAGTCACTGTAAGGCTGCTGCTGCGAAAGGCTATATGGTATTATGGTCAATTCGTAGGTCTTTCCAGTATTTAGATGATGAAATGTTTAGATTACTATACCCGATTTATGTGCGACCACATTTAGAATACGGGATTCAAGTAGCGTGTCCTTGTTTCAAATATGAAGCAGATATGCTAGAAAGAGTCCAACGACGAGCTACTAAGATGGTACAAGGTCTATCTGGCCTATCTTATGAAGACAGACTGTGACACCTTAACTTATTTCCGTTATCTTACCGTAGAATAAAGGGTGATCTAATATTGGCCTATCGTATACTGAACGATGACCTTGGTATTAACATGTCTTATCTTTTGCTTCCGTCTAGGACTGATCATTTGAGAGGACATTCGAAGAAAGTTCAAAAACCGAGATCAAACCGTTTACGTTTGGAGTTCCGTTTCTCGCACCGAGTAGTGAATTACTGGAATTCTCTACCGGAACACGTAATATCAGCTCCATCTGTTAATATATTCAAAACGAGATTGGACCTCCACAGTATTACAAACTGCAAGGATTAATATAGGTCGACAAACCTCCAATCCTTATTACTGAAGACAGTGGAAAAGCGGTAAATTATTTCAAAATTTTATTTAAAAAGAAAAGAGTATTATTGTACAACAGTAGAGCACAAGCTTAAGCATCGATTGTTATGCATATCCAATGCAATTGCTAATTCATTGTTATTTGAATTAATCTGAAAAAGAAGGAACAGGTTACATTTTATTCATAAGGAATGTGCATTTAATCAAAAGTTCACTGAAACTCAAACACACATTCTCAACACTTCAACAGTTTCCCATGTAAGTAATAAAGTAAGCTGTTTGAAAGAATAATGTTTATTGAAATCGAGGTAGAACATCAAAACAATTGCACGGACTATTTAGAATTGAGGTAGTCGTCCTGTGAATTCTGAATTAAAAAACAAACAAACAAAAAGAGTAACCACCATATCTCAATGACATGCTTTTGTACAGCCAAATACTTGAAGCTGAACTTACGGTTATGTTCGTTAGTATTGTTGACTGTAACTATAGAGCCGTAGGGAGGTTATCACTGTAAATTAATACATACCTAATTTTCTTTTCTTCTATTTCGTTTTATCATCTTGTCTCGGATGTCGTGAAAGTAACCTTGTGTCGCGATGTCGTAGAGCTTACCAAGGTCTTTTTCGTTGACAGAGGATGACAAAAAGCGATGAGTTAAGGCACCTGAAGTTTAAGTAATAGATATAGGTTACTTCGTATGCAGCTGTAAAACGTGCATTTCTTTAGTGCTCGTTTTGAAGAGGTGCCAAGTAACGTGAATTTACTGGCAACCTCCGGTGTCAGCAGATGCGACAGAACAAAACGCATCGACGTTTTTGGATCGTCACCTGATAACCTAGTGACCATTGCCATCTGTAATAGTAACCAATTATTAAATTCATGTAAATGACTTACAAATCTGTCCCTGGTTTCTTTCTGCGACAAACCAGTATCTAGCATCTGTAGTTCCTCTTCAGATGACAAAGGGAACTGCTGACTCGATAGTCCGCAATCGAATTGATGCGGTCTTTCGCGCTCATTAGACTTCGAAAGCAATTGCTTTACATTAACAGTCAAATCCGAAATGGCTGTTGACATGCAGCAACGTTTGACGGAAGTCATTCATGGTTGACGAAATGTTTTGCACCATTGCATGCAACCTATCTAACCTGAAAAAGTCCACTTGATGATGCAGGTGACTTACTGGTCTGCTGAAGCACCATGGACACGCTTTGATGCAGATGTAGACGGAGATGTCTCTAATTGCGTCGAACTAATTTTTGAACATTTAAATAGTCATGAAACTTACTTAGCAATAGGCGAAACAAATTTGTCAAACAACCTGAATTCGGGATATTGAACATGAGTATTGCAAGCTTGCATTTCAGCAACATCCATGTCTATTGAATTGTAAAGATATTCTTGTTTACGCTTCATGACAGATCTAGGAAATGTTAGTAAGATTATTGTATATACCTCTTGTGCTTCTCAGTGTTATGTGGCAGAGTGTTTTCATCCGTTGAAATATTTTCCCGGTGAGATTGCAGTATTTCTATGGAAAGTAACAGATCTTTGGCAGACTGCAGAGAATCTATAGTGAATTATACTTTCTGTGTATGTAACTTATCTAATTCGTGAATAACTTTGCATTTCATAAGTGACAATTTTCATTCGGTCGGTCGCACTTCTTAAGGTGTATATCGACCATCTCATTCGGAAAAGCGCAAAGTTCCTTGCCTACTAGCCACTCCTTGGATGCTATCATAAGTTGTTTTTTGCTGAGAACGTCAACAGTGACGTACTTCTTGTTAGCGGGCTGAAAATAACATAAGACGTAAGTAAATTATTTGTCGTTATTTATTCAACACTAGTGAAACAAAATGCATTTACAGCCAAGTATGGAGCAATAGGATTACAACTAGATAATTCCTAGAATTTATGGCTATACATTTACAATCTATGTCCTTAACCAAGATCCATGTTTGTTCATGGCTAACTACGGAGCACCTAAAGATTCCAATATTAGTAGATGGGAAAGGATCTTCGTAGTAATTGCGTGGATCAGTGAAAGTCTTAAATTTTAGTAGTCCATCCTCCCTTATATCAGTTACTAAACCTTGCTGGCCGTTCACTACTACTACATTATCAGGCTGACATGAAGTTATTTTACTGTTGTTAAAAATAATTACTTGTTTAGTGGAGACATCATT